TGTAGGCTTTCTTTGCTGTTTCTCATTCTATTTGCTTTTTATTCCTCTGACCTTTTTGTTCAAATGACCTATATTTGAGCATACTGATTCTTTCTTCTGCTTGATCAAGGCTGCTGTTGAAGCTATGGAATTTTTCACTTTAGTTATGTTCTTCAGCTCCAAATTTTTATTTGGTTCTATTTATGGTTTCTATCTCTTTTTATACTTCTAATTTTGTTCCTTTATTGTTTTCCTGATTTTCTTTAGTTGTTTGTGTTCTCTTGTAGCTCTCTGAGCATCTTTATGATGATTATTTTGAAGTCTTTGTCAGGTGGTTTGTAGATTTCCATTTCTTTAGGTTGGTAATTTGTGCTTTATTTTATTCCTTTGGTGATGTCATATTTCCCTGATTATGTGTGATCCTTGTAGCTTTGCTCTAATGTCTGCACATATGAAAGAAACAGGCACCTCTTTTAGTCTTTACAGTTTGGTTTCAGCATGAAAACCCTTCACATATCAGCCCATCTAGAAATTCTGGGCAAGCTCTTTGGTGGGGTCAGTGGGTGGACTTGATGCTGGATTGTCAGGCAAGCTAGCCTATTACCTGAGTCAGAGGGTGGGCAAGACTGGTGCCTAGGTCCACAGGGGCCAGCCTCATGCTTTGGTCCATGGGGCTGGACCTGAAGTATTGGTACCCTGCAGTGGGCCTGGGTCCTGAGACAATGGGGGCCAGTCAGACACAGGGGTCCACTGGGTTAAGCCTGTCAATTCAGTCTGTAGGGACAGGCCTGTAGTCTGGGTCCACATTGGCTGATCTGACACTGGGATTATCCTTGAGCCTGAATCTGAGGGGGCTGGCCCTGACTTGGAATGGGCCTGGGTCCATGGAGATGGGCCTGGTTCTGATTCTGTTGTGGCCAGCCTATAACTAAGGTTCACAGGGTGGGCCGAGCACCTAGATTCAAGGTAGCTAGTCTGGTCCCTGGTACCATGAGGACAAGCCTGGAGTCTGACTCCATGGGGCCTGGCCTGGTGTTAGAGTAGGCCTGGAATCTGTTTTGGGGGACATCCTGAGTCCTACATCTGTGGGAGTCAGCCTTGAACCTGAGCCTTAAGAGCAGTCCTGGAGCCTTGCTCATGAGGATGACCTGGTGCTGGAGTGTACTGGGGCAGTTCTAGCTTAGGTCCATTACAGTGGACCTAGACCCTGAGGACTCCTAGGACTAACTGGCGTGGAGCCTGAGGCAGCCTAGCACTAGAGTGGGTTTGGAGCCTGAGTCCACAGGGGCCAGTTTAAAGTCTGGGCCCACATGTGCTAGCCTAAAGTAAGAGTCCAAGGGGGCAGGCCATGGCAGGCCTAAGGTCTGAGTCTGAGAGGGCCAGCCTGGGGCTATGGGGGCTGTTCTGCAACTGCGGTAGGACCTGGAGTTTGGGTCCACAGGTGCAGGCCTGGAGCCTGGGTCTATGGGGGCAGGCTGTGTACTGTCTTTTTGTTGGGGTCCATAGCAAAGTCATATGCTTATTTCATTCCCCTTTCCCTACATGAAGGATATCTCTCCATGCTATTCTGTCCTGGTGTGGGGGAAAGGTGATGTGGGTTATATGAAAATGCCCTTCCTACCCTCTACAATGTATCTTTTATTATTTTTGTGCTGTACCCATGTGCTGTAATATCTTACCTGGATTCCTTAGCTCTTGTGAAGGTATTTTCATGCATGAATAATTGTTCAAATTGATATTTCTGCAAAGGGATGAGCGCTAGAAAGTCCTACTCTGCCATCTTGGTGATGTTACTCCTCCTCAGTCTTTTTTTTTTTGTTTTTTACTTTTATATATTCAAAACCATGAGTTTACTCTCATACCTCTAATTCCAATCCTAATCATTTTAGTTTTCTCTCTTTCCATATTATAATTACCATCTCCAACAGTGAAAAACCTAGCGGCATTATTTTTCATATATTTACTTATGCAATCAATCCTTTTATGTAGCCAATCTCTCATATTTGCTGCCAGCCTCTCCCCTGTGTGGATACCCTTTAAGGCTCTGATACCCCATGTCAGGTTTCTCATTCTGCAAGGATATCTTCCTTACTCACCCTTGATCTTTGACTTCCCACACTACAGTGAAGGCTACCTTCCTCTTCTCCCCACTATGTGTGAATATCATCATCATTACCTTGGACCCTGACACCGATGGTGTCACACAGACATCCTCCTCACTCTGGTTGAGCTCAGATAGCTTGCTCTGGGCCACCATAGCACCCTCTACCAGCAATGTGGAAGCCTGCATTGTTTTGGCCTGAAAATGGCTTTAGGACTAAATTGTTCAGGAAGAGAAGGAGATATAAAGAAAGAAAAAGAAAAGAAATGAAGAGAAGGGGAAGGTAAAGGAAACCAGAACATTAATATCTGCAAATATAATCACAAGATTATCTTTTAATATAATTAAATAATAGCAAAACAGAGAAAGTTAGTCAACATAATTAAAAGTTTATAAGTAAGAAAATACATTCTAGAGTGGTGGGAGACTTGCATAGGATGAAATTCTTTAATAGAATTTGGGTAAAATATATTGGAGATTTAGCTAAAGGAAAAGAAATCTGAAGTTTGCAAATCAGAAATTTTAACCTTGCCTTAGTCTGTTCCACCTCCTTTTATCTTCCTTTAAAAGCATCCTAAGCTCATAGTAAGTGTCCTTATTTATTAGCCAAGCTCCCTAATAATGACAGAGACTCAAATAATATCCAGATTTCAATACTGGAAAACTTTTCCAGAGAGATCCAGTCTTCCTTGCCATTTTTCAAAAAAGGAGTATTATGTAGATAAATAAATGCCCTCTCCCAAATCTTGCAAACGTATGTCATAAGATCCATAACCACTTGGAGAAGTTTTCCAGCATTGAAATCAGAAAAATTGTGTCAAAAATTAAAAAAATCTCAGAAGAAAAAGATAAGATTACAGTACAAAATACCTGAAGACAAACATTGTCAATTTAGAATGACAGCCACTTTTGAAGTTAGTCTTTATGGGTCATGTGTTGCTGTTGTTAGGAGAAAATGATGGAATACCAAGAGGCTAAAAGGAATTTGAAAGGATTTTATAATATGTACAACTTTTATGAAACTGTATTCTTTATGTCAGACTTTAGATATCACACTCCTTATTCCGAAGATACTGAAGTATTAATATATTATAAGATGAATAAAGAATCCCAAAATTCTACAAGCCTGATGAGTCTCTGTCATCTCTATATTACCAAGGTAATAAATTGATTGACTGGTGTCAAAGAACTTGATGTTTAAAAATCGTCAACCAGATATCTCTTGAATAGAATATCATCTGAAAAGTAAATTTTGTAGCCAGACCTAGGGAAAGTAAATAGGAGTCAACTAGTAGCTAACAGGAGCATGAGCTGTCAGGCAAAAATGATGTCATTACCAGAGGGGAAATCAACAGTACTAGGATTTAAGCATCCAGAATCCACAGGGATTACATTACTTCAAAGGAAGTAATTTGATTCAAATCTCAAAAGAATAAAAGGATTGACTAGAAATTTCTGTTCCCTGGAGAGTTAAATTCTACGTTATATCACTATGGTCCTCAGTGATAACTCCAGGAAAACATTTATCTTATTTAAAATAAGGGCAGTGAATTAATAATTGGCTACATATTTGTTATGTTTACTTTAATTATAGCAATTAACTTTGGCAGTGGCATAAACACAAATTATTATACATTATCACAAAATCAGAGATGGAGAAAGGAGAGTAGATAGACAAAAGGGCTCTCCTAAAGTTTGAAGATTTTGTTTATTGAATACATGGTTAGGTCTTTGCCCACATCCCAAAGCCCAAAAGACAGTGCTGAAGTATCCAACAAAAGCTAAGAAATAAGAAGCATGAATAGTGTTAAAGGAAGAAATGATGATTAGTCACCTCTTCTTTCCTTATCTTGGCTTTGATGGAAGAGATTTAAATGAATTAATGAATGGATGAATGAACAAATAAAACAAACAAATAAATAAAATAAGCTAATCTCTGAAGAAAGAGAAGGGGATTGAAATAATTATTCTATCTATCATAAAGTACCTTTGATCCTCTGAGAAAAATCACAGTAGGGAGCTGAGTACCCCTCAGGTCTGGATACAAATCTAGCAGGCCTATTAACAAGAACTTATACTAATGAACTAAGAGAATATGAATGAAAGTACTATCAAATAAAAGTCACATGGAAGCAAAAAATAAAAACACATAGGATAAGCAGTAAATAACAAGGAAGATCACATGTAATATATAGATAAAGAAGGAATTGGAATTAACTCATCAGGACATGAAGAACTGAACAGAAATTTTTAAAAGTGTGACAGTATAGAGAAATAGGGCAGAAGTATTAATAGTAGGGTGATAAAAATTTCATTAGGGTAGGAATTTTTGTCTGTCTTCATTCCTGCATCTCCTGTACCCAGAAAAATATCTGGCAAATAGTAGGTAGTGAATAAAAATCATTAAATGAATGAATGAATAGGGTAAGTAAGAGAGATGGTGATGATACGACAACAGTAGAAAAGGGGGATGTTATAAAAATAAAATATAAAAATATTTTTATACCCCATAATATTCTCAAATAAAAAAATTAAAAAAAATAAAAATAGAAACAAAATTGTGATAAAGGGGAGCAGCACAAAGGGAATGTGGGAACTGATCAATAGAGAATTGAGAGGATAAAAATAATTGAAGGTAAAAAGGTACATGGAGATATAACAAGAGATAAGAAGGGAAAAATAGGAATAGAAGGCATAAAATATTAAAATTACAAAAAAATATAGAAATGGTAGAAACTGGCAAAAAGGGAGAACTGCAACATAGAGCCTACTAAAAGGAAGTAAATATTTATAAACACTTTCCACATTTAAATATACTTCTCAAATTTCTATTCTTAAAGTCTGTTCCTAGCCTTCCATATATACATAACTGATATTTTTAAAAGATGTATTGGCACATAAAATAGGAGACTCTACTCACCCAGTTTTGCAACTTTAAGAATTCTTCAATGCTCTTTGGAGGTTCTTGCATTTTCTAATGAAGTAAAATCAATATTGTTCATTGACATCAATTCAGATTGTTCACAATGCTTATATAGAATTTACTTAAATAAAATATGATGTTATATTTAAGTCATCATTTTGAGAGCTGTAAGATATTATAAAATGTTCACTTTGTAAAGTCTCTGAACTTTGAAAAGGGAGATAAATGTTTAGATTCTGAGCCTCCAAATTCTGTGAAAGGCTTCCCTCTTATATACTGTTCTAGAGAAAAGCTCCACATGAATCTTGCTGAATGACCTAATTTAAAATTCCTATAAGAGTTCCAAGAAATTTAAGGCTATCATGGACAGTGTTTATAACAAATTCAGAGCCAAAAATTTAATAGCATGCTACTCTTGTTGATAAAGTATTTTAAAAAGCCACGTTAGTGACATGGTGAAAATAATTTAAATATTTGGATGTTTCAGTCTAATAAGTAATAATCCCATTTTTATTAGTAGTTTCTTTGTGAGTTGAAAATGCATTCAACATTAGACAAATTAATTTTAATTGAGACCACACCTTGCTCCTTCTTGCCTTACAGACTTTGCACACATTCTTCCTTCTGTTTAGAAGTCTCCCTGTCCCAAATACTCTCCTTCCAACCCTTTCTTGTCCTATTTAACTCTTATTTGAAATACCAAATTAAAAGTCACTTTTTCTAGCAAGCCTTCCTTAGCACCCAGAAAGTTTCTCCACAGTAACATACAGCAGATTATCTCTATGAGGATAGAAACTATGGTGTAATCATGGCTGAATTTTCTAAATTTCACATTGTTTGGCCCACAGTCAATGCAGAATAAGTACTTGTAGTGTGCACAAATTAATGAATAAATGAGGAGATGAATGTCAGAAATGTGTATGTGTTTTAAAAACAATGAAAATGTCTAGAAAATAAAAACCTAGTGACAAGAAAGCAAAAATAAGAGGAATTCAGAAGTCTAATACTCTAATATCCACGGTGACATCACTGAAAAAATTACATTAGATTTTTATTTACAAAAATATATATTTCACATTAATATACAAAAGGATCAAGATTATAAAATCTCAAGGCATGGTTTGTAAAAATAATTATATATTTTAGTTTAAAGATAATATTTCATTCTCTTTATATAGTTTAAAAAATATGATGAGTATAAGTAAATATATAACTGATAATGTAATAACAATAGTAAGATAAAGGGTATATTTCACAGCTATTATAGAAAATAAGAGTTTACACAGAAGCAAAGATACATAGAGATGCCAAGAAAAAATTTTACAGAAAACATGGACTCTAGGGCTAGTTAGATTGAGCAGGGTGAGAGATATGAGAGATGGTGTGCACAAAAGGCTTAGAGACAGAAAAATATTCATGATATAATATATTCAGGGATAGCAAGTATGGCAGTTTGGTGAGAAGGAACCAGCAGTATATTGTACAGAATATAAAGAAGCCTAATGAAAACATTTTAAGTGTTGACCCTTTTTTCTTGTAATGGCTGTTGAACCACTTCTAGTACAAAGCACTAAAAATAATACCCACATTTAAATTAAAGGGAATTAGAAAAATGAATTAAGGAAGTGAAATTTGCATAGGAAATTTCCAGATAATTTCAATATAAAATTCCAAGGTTCTCTCAGGCTAAAGTTAAAAAAAGGTGAAGCATAAATTAAACAGATATCTACTTTGAGTAGGATGTAGAAGGATGCAAAACACCTATGGCTTCCATGGTAACAACACTAAAAACTTGGATAAAATAAAAATCATACATTTCTATGGGGTTAGTGAAAAGTAGGGAATGCCAATAAGCAGCACGGTTACATAATTGGAGAAAATTCAGAGTCCCTTGTTAAAAAATTATTAAGAATTTCAAGATGATGGCGTCAGAGCATTAAACCAAGTACAGGGCCCTTCTCAGCATGGGCATTGTGCAACTGCAGAGGTAGCAAGTCCATGAAGCCAGCCCTACCCGGAATCTTTGATTATCTGAAACCCAGACAGAAATATGTCCTCTATACGTGAGAATAAAGCTGTGGCAGCTTCCTTACCCGGTAGCCAGCTCTATTAATCTGTTGACTCTTCTGTTGGCCTTCCATGGTGCAGTAACTTTGCAGAGATGAGGAGAAATCACCTAGGCCTTAGGTGTCAGTGTGAGTTGGGGGACCAAACTGGAGTCTGAAAGACATCCAAATGCAAAAACAAATGATTCAGTCAAACAATCCCTTCTCCCTCACCCCCAAACCTCACTTCTGAATTTTGCCATAAAAAGCAGCAGTGGAGAGGCTGGAAAGAGAGAAACTGTACAATCCAGCACATTCTCATAGTTTTTGGATTCCAGGGCCCTGACAGAGTTGACCGCAAAGATTAACTAAAATATCTAAAACTTCAATCCAAACTCCTCTCAGCTCAAATATTGACAAGATATAAGAGGTTAATATGAAGGTTAATGTTGGAAGTTGAATTAATCACAGGCAAACTCATCTAGTCAAACTGCAGCCAACCCTAAAGCTCAACTTGACTCTAGGAGGATTCCAAAGATCAACCTCTCACTCTAAATGCCAAAGAAAGGAAAAGGCTTGGGATCTCTGAAAAATAAACTAAATTAAATTTCAGCCTCCACAATTTTTTCTACATAAATTTCTAATAAACAATAAAACAACTACATAACATAAAAAGGAGGAGGAAAATGGGACCTGTAATCCAGAGAAAATACTGTCAATATAAATCAATTAACTGAGAAACCAGTTATTGTGATTAGCGGACAAGAAGTTTACAGAAACTATTAAAAATATATAAAAATTTTACAATATAGATTGGATTACAGTACATAAAGAGATGGAGTATTTCAAGAGAAATGGAAATTCTAAAAAAGAAACATGGAAATTCAAGAACCATGCAAACACTAATTATAAAAAAGCTGGTGTGTCTGTATTAATGTCAGACAAAGTAGGCTTCAAGACAAGGAGTATTATCAGGCATAAATAAAAATTTTTCATACTGAAAAATCATCAGTACATTAAGAAGGTGTACTAACACAAAATGTTTTTACATCTAATAATAGAGCTTCAAAATAAATGTAGCAGAAATCGATAAAGCTAAAGAGAAATATAGGCAAAATCACAATTATAGTTGGAGATCTAACATCTCTCTGAGCAACTGATGAATCAAGCACACACATACACACAAATCAATAAGGAGATGAAAGATTTTAACAACATTAATAAGCAACTTAACCTAATTGACACTTATAAAACAACTATACCCCATAACTTAGGAATATACAGTCTTTCAAAATAATGAAACATGGAACATTCACCAAGATGGACTTATGCTGTATATAAGACATGTCTCAAAAATTTTCGAATAATTGAAATCATTCAGAGTATGGTCTCTGATCACAAAAGAATAAAAATAAAAACAATAACAAAAAGACATCTTTAAAATCCTTAATTATTAAATAATCCATTTCTAAATAACATATGGCTCAAAGAAGAAATAATAAGGAGAATTAAAAATTTCTTCTGATAATGAAAGCTAATGAAAACACAACATATCAAAATTTTTGGCATGTAGCTAAACCTGTTCTTAGAAGAAAATCTTTAGCTTAAAGTGCTTAGGAAGCTAAAAAATAAAAAGAAAATTAAAAGAAAAATAAGTAGAATAAAGGAAATAAAGATATGAGCAGAGATCAATGAATTAAAAATGTGCAAACAGAGAAATCAACAAAAAAAATTGGGTCTTTGAAAAGCAAAAGTGAATAAAAAAAAAAGAAAGAAAAATACAAATGACTAATATTAGGAATGATGGAGGGGATATCACCATAGATCCTACAGACAAAAAAATGACTAAAGGACATATAATTAAAAACTTTATGTTGATAAATTTCAAAAACCTGAATGAAATGGAAAAATCCTTTTAAAAATCACTAAAAGTGAAATAAGATAAAGTAAACTTGAATATCTATTTTAATTTGAATTCATAATTTAAAATCTTTCCACAAAGAAATTCCAGGCCCAGATGACTATAGTATAAAAAACATTAAAGAAATAAAATAATTTAATATAAACGTTCAGAAATAGACAAGGAGGGAACACTTCTTAAATCATTTTATGAAGCCAGTGTAACTTTGATACCAAAATCTGACAAGGATATTATAAAAAAGAAAATTTTAGATCAAATATACTTCAAGAACATAGATACAAAAATCCTTAACAAATTACTAGCAAATTGAACCCAGCAAGGTATAAAAAGGATAGTATGTCAGGCTCGACTGGGGTTTATCCTGAGAATGCAAAAATCAGTCAATAATTTTACAACGCACTTAATATATCAGTGTTATGCATTTAATATGTCAGTAATGTATAAATTTTAAAATTCTATGCATTTAATATATCAGTAATGTATGAATTTTAACTGATTTTTATTTATAATAATGACTGTAGACATTCTAAAGATTCCCAAAAGACATGAGCATAAACATTATATATTTAGATATTTTCACTTGAAACCTAGTATTTTCAAAACATAATTCATAATCATCCCTTGAAATAAGTCCTTACTTTCTAAATCTTGTTCTTGTTTTCTTTTTTTTTTTTTTGAAACAGAGTCTCACTGTGTTGCCCAGGCTAGAGTGCCGTGGCGTCATCCTCGCTCACAGCAACCTAACTCCTGGGCTCAAGCGATCCTCCTGCCTCAGCCTCCCGAGTAGCTGGGACTACAGGCATGCGCTACCATGCCCGGCTAATTTTTTCTATGTATTTTCAGTTGTCCAATTAATTTCTTTCTATTTTTAGTAGAGACGGGGTCTCGCTCTTGCTCAGGCTGGTTTCCAACTCCTGAGCTCAAACAATCCGCCCACCTCCGCCTCCCAGAGAGCTAGGATTACAGGCGTGAGCCACCGCGCCCGGCCTTGTTCTTGTTTTTAACCGTGAGGTTTCACAGTCATCCAGGTTTGAAGTCTGAGTTACCTTAGACTCTTCCTTCTCTTTCATTATCTCCCACATCTATACCATCACCATGATTCCTTTTTTTAAAAAAAATCTTTTTAAAAATTTTCTTCCTTTATGGCCTCAATTTTAATATAATGATCAGTTAAACTTATTGCTTATTTTTTCCAAGTCATATGTGTTTATGCAATTATTTATTTGTATTTCTTTATCTTTTCATTAAAGTAAAACATTCAGTAAATTACACAAATATTAAGTGTATGAATCAATAATTTTTTTACAAATGTCTATAACTTTATATCCAATGCAAAAATCAAGATACTTACGTAACCAGTACCCAGAGTAATCCATTACCCCTCTACAGTCATTTGTCCCCCAATGTAACCATTATTCTGAATTATACCACTCTAGATAAGTTTTGGTTATTATTGAACTTCATTTAAATGGAATAATCAACACGTACACCTTTTATCTGGCTGTAACATTCATCCATGTTGTTTCATGTAATAGTAGTTCATGTGTTTCATTGTGTAACATTGTTTGTTGCATAACATAACACCAAAATCTACTTCTGATGGACATTTGGATCATTTCCTATTTTTGTGTTATTACACATTAAGTCAGTATAACATTCTTGTTAACGCCTTTTGGTATACTTGATATATAACTAGGAGTGGGATTGCTGGGCCAGCTTTAGTGGATATTGCCAAATAGCTTTCCAAAGTGGTTGTACCTATTTCATCCTGAACAGAAAGTTCTGTCATTTTCACAATACCATAGAGTATAAATTATTATGCCTTTATAATAAACCTTGATACACTGTAATTTACATCTTCCAGCTTTGTTTTCCTTATCAAGGTGATCATCACTATTTTTATCCTTTTACATTTCCCTTTAACTTTCAGGAATCAGATCATCAAGTTCTGCAAAACTGTACTGGAATTTTGACTGGGATCAGGTGACATATATAGATCAATTTCTTTTTCTTTTTTAATAGATTTGGGGGAACAAGTTGAATTCCATTACATGTATATATTATATAGTGGTGAAGTCTGGGCTTTTAGTGTACCTATCACCCAAATAGTGTACCTTGTACCCCATAGGCAATTTTTTATCACTCACCCGCTCCCATGCTACCCCCTTTTGAGTCTGCAATGTCCATTATACCACTCTGCATGTCCCTGCGTTGTTTGAGTTCATTGTAGATTCTCGGTATTAGTCCTTTGTCAGACACATAGGTTGCAAATATTTTCTCCCATTCTGTACATTGCCTATTTATTCTTTTGATTATTTCTTTTGTTGTGTAGAAAGCTTTTAGTTTAACTAAGTCTCATTTGTCTTTTTTTTATTGCATTTGCTTTGGGGGTCTTAGTCATAAATTCTTTGCCTAGGTCCAGAAGAGTTTTTACTAGGTCTTCTTCTAGGATTTTTATAGTTTCAGGTCTTACATTTAAGTAGTCTTTAATCCCTCTTGAGTTAATATTTGTATATGGTGAGAGACAGGAATCTAATTACATTGTTCTGTATATAATTATCCAGTTTTTTCCAGCACCACTTATTGAAATTCTGCATCCTTTTCTCTGTATATGTTTTTGTCTGCTTTGTTGAAGATTATTTGGTTGTAGGTGTATGGTTTTATTTCTGGGTTCTCTATTCTGTTCCATTGCTCTACATGTCTCCTTTCATACCAGTACCATGCTATTTTGGGTACTATGGCCTTGTGGTATAATTTGAAGTTAGATAATGTGATGCCTCCAGGTTTCATGTGCTGATGGATTCAGTTTGTTAGTATTTTGTTGAGGATTTTTGAAACTATGTTCATCAGAGATATTCATCTGTAGCTTTCTTTATTTGTTGCATTATTTCCTGGCTTTGGTATCAGGGTGATACTGGCTTCATAGAATGAGTGAAGAAGGATTCTCTTCTTCTCAATCTTTTGGAACAGTTTCAGTAGGATTGGCACCAGCTTATCTTTGTATGTCACGTAGAATTTGGCTGTGACTCTATCTGGTCCTGACCTGTTTTTTGTTGAGAGATTTTTCCTTTTTTATTACAAATTCAATCTCACTAGTCATTATTGGTCTATTGAGGAGATCTATTTCTTCCTGGTTCAATTTTAGGTTATATTTTTCAGGAATTCATAATTTCCT